TCTAGAACACTCAACCTAACACAAACTCATAGGAAAATAATGAGAATATTCACTATTATGAAGAAAATGTAACCGATGGCACCAAGCAGTGTGTGTAGCAGATGTTGACTGGGATTTTGAACTACTGAGCAAACCCTCACTGAAAACACAATGAAATATCATTAAAAGTAATTCTTTAACATCTACCCGAGTAGTTATCATTCCTGGTTCTTCTCATTCCTTTGTCCATTGCCTGGTGTCCGTCTTGAATCATTTTACTTCTATTTAAGAAATTCCTTTGATCTTCCTTGTAGGGCAAGTGCAGAATATTATACATCCATTACCTTTTTGTATGTCATTGTTTTTCCTTTATTTGGAGAATCTTCTTCTTCTTTTTTTTTACTGAGTACAGGGGTCTTTGTTATTTTATGCTTTTAATTATTTAAATATGCCACTAAACCGTCCTCTGGTTTCATTGCTTTTTGTGAGAAATATACTGCCAATCTTATCTTTGCTTCTTTATGTTGTATGATTTCGACTTGCTTTTGAAGATTTTTCACATATCCCTGGGTTTATCCTAATTTGATTATGATGGGTTGGAGTGTAGTTTTCTTTTTTTTCTTTTATCATTTTCATTTATTTTGTGCTTGTAGATTGTGAAGATCTTGGACCTTTGGGCTTATAGATTTCATCTAATTTGGAAAGCTTAAGACATTATATATTTGTGTAATTTTTTCCCTTTCTTCTTGCCTCTTGATGAGCCCAGTTATAAGTACATTATGCTGCTTGACGTTGTCCAGTAGTTCGCTGATAATATGTATTTTCTATTATATTTCTCTGGGGGTTTCATATTGGGCAGTTTCTATTGGAAATTGTTCTAGTTCCACTATCGTTTCTTCTGCACTGCTTGATCTGGGATTTTTATATCAAGTGCATTTTATAGCTTAGATTTTGTTTTCATCTATAGAAGTTGGATGTGTCTTTTAAAAATCATCCGTATTATGAAAACTTGCTTTTTATTTAAAACTCTTGAATACATGCAGTTACTTGCTGTGTTATTGTTCTTGTCTACTAATTTCATCATCTGTTACTGACTTTTCTTTTTATATGGGTTGTAGATGAGTGATTCTCTGAAAATTTTATTGGTCCCAAATATTGAGATTAGAGTATATATACATACATTATTGTCTTCTTGGTGACCCTATATCCACAAACATACTCTCATTCAACATTTCTGCACATAATGTTCACTGGTATTTGTTACAGCCTTCACATTTATTGACATTCTCATTATATTTATCTAGTTTATTCACTCTCATTAA